TATATATATATATATATATATATATATATGTATGTATATATAACATTATCGTATCAGAAGTAGTCTTTATATGAAGAAACTAGATGATTTTGTAGGAAAAAGGTTTAAAAGTTACATATTTTTTGTAGGTAACAGATGTCTTTCTCAATGGGCACTCAAACCCAGAGATTCAGATCCTAGGATTGAAGATGGCTCCTTTATTGCAAAATGTCAGAATGCTTGATACCTGTGAAGGTCCTTTGCGTTATTCACCAGTCTCGGTAGATTTGATATATAAATGACAATTAAAAATGGAACATATTGTTATTTCTAGTAAAAGCAGACATAACTTTCTGCCAACGTGGTGCTAACCAGAAGGAGACAGTGTTGCCCGATTACTTTTAGTTTTACTGATGCCATTGTTGTTGCAAGGATTCAATCCCAAACATACAGACAATTCATATTCATTATGTACAGTGGATATGTAAATTTTACTGAGACAGGTAATAATATTTTTTTCCTGAAAGGAAGAAAATTATATATTTCCGTACGGGATAAAAAATTTGCAGTCAGATGACAATTTACTCGTTTTTTTAACTTTACAATCATATAATTGAAAAGAATCAGGACTAGCAAAAATAGTTGTGTAATTTGAGTGAACCCATGAAAATGTGTTTTTATTCGGGAAATAATCTTAGATTCGGATTTAAATTTCCATATTGAATTGATATTAAAATTTTATGGATAAATAAAATTCTAATTTATTTTGCTATGTCCACTTCAATCCAACTCAAATATATTGAATTGTGTTTTTCAACTAAATTAAATTTAATCCAATTCAAATTCATGGATTAAGTGAAGTTGCTTAATATGAACTTGAGATCTAATTTATTAAATAATAATACTGTTTTATTTATTTTATTAATTAAATATGCATTTTTGAAGTATTATATATTTACGTATCAGATAATAAAATTTATTCTTTTTAAATCAAATAAAAATATAACCAAAAAACTTTGAAATTATAGTTAAAAACATTTAACATAGAAAACAAAATATAGCTGGTGAGCCGTAAAGAGGCAAGTAATCAAAATTTTCTGTTAATTTTATCACACTCATTGTTCGTTATTTTTTTTTATCGGATAACACTGTTTAAGACAATAATGTTAATTGATTACATTAACTTAAAAAGAAGACACACGCGAAAAAGAGCATAATATTTCTTCAGAAAAAAAGGAGAAAAGAAGGATGTGAGAAAAAACCATGTATTTATATTAATTACGATACCAGTTTGAATCTTACAATCTTTAGATATCTTTGGATGAAAAATAGTTGTTGAAACTGTGATGAATACATGCAAGTGTTTAAGAAAATATAAAACCGTAAAATATCTAATCGTAGCAAAGCAAAATATCTTTGGTCCTTTACATCTGTAAGCCAAGCAAGTACAAGTTACTCAATATCAAGTACCTATACAAAAGTGAACAGACAGTTGTATGTATTTTCTGAAGAAGTATACAAAATTCATTATTTAAAGCTTAAAAACATAAACAGATAGTTGCATTACCTCAAACCCCAACTTTTGGAACAATGCCAAGGCAGGGCCATCGTGTCTATTTACATGAGCATAAAAACTATTTACACCTGCATGCACAACCAATTGCAATACGCTTGCGTCGATATGATTTAGCAACAACCAAGTTTGCAACATAACCGTGTCTGCTTGATGATGTTCCCTTGACTTGAAAAACAGGAGCACAAATTGTTAGTTAGAAAAGGATTCAAAGAGAAAACAAAGAGTGATAAAGATAATATCTTACTCCAAGATTCAAACATCTGATATTCAAATCAAGCGTTCCTACGACACTTAGTAGGACTATTCGTGATACACCCTTTACATGCTTCTTCACATGAAGACTTACACCACACATCATAAGGGAAAGAAAGATGCTTCATCAAATAAACCAAGAACAAGAATGCTTGTACCGCGATGATGCATGCGGAGCTATGGCCGGGTTGTGGTTTTCTGCACTTCTTTATCTTATCATATTCCTATCCAAAGGGAATTCTTTGTTAAGATTTTCTTATCCGGAAAACACCAAAGCACACAGTACACAGAATTATTAACATAAACTCTTACCTCAATCGTGTCTATCCTCTTCTCATAGTGGTTAAATCTGGATAAAAAATATCGACAATTATAACAGCATACAACTTTTCATCCATTTGTGAATCAAAGCACGTTACTATTCATTAAAAGAAGAAGAAATCCAGATGTCCTTCATTTACTATAAAAATTGCGCGTTCCAAAACGTTTTGTAGAATCTCTATCACTATATTACCATTGATAATCCTAGATAAAGTAAAAAAAAACCCAACTAATGCATTTTGAGTGTCACACCCTGATTTAACAAGAAAAATGAATCATAACACCCTTAAAATAGGTCGTACAAAAAAATAAAATAAATTACGTACAAAAATATAAAAATTAAACAACTTAAAAATATTCCCATCCCTTGTGCTAACAAAATTTTTCAAATAAGTTTTTATTTGTTCTGACTCACAAGAAGGAGGTTGAGATTTCTTTTCATTCAACTCATTTATTCTTCTGAGCTAATTGGATGTTTTTTTATTCTTGTAATTTTTTTGATTATTTTCTATTATCAAGCCTTACACCTTCTTGATATTTAGGTGTTGACAAAGTTAGCTAAATTAAAAATTAATAAACAAAAGTTATAAACAACCATGAGCAAAATCATACATTTGAATCAAAGAAAAGGTTTGACTTTGAATCTTTGACTCCAAACTCCAAGCAAAAATAGAAAAGATTAAAAGAAAAGAAAAAAAAAGAAAAGAAAAAAAGAAAAGAAAAAACTTACTCAATATTCTTCCTGAAAAAATGTCTCTCTTGCAATGAAATTCCTAAACTCCAAATCATGTGGAACCAATTCTTTCGGCGAAGATTGCTTCCGCCCAAAATGACAGAAAGTCACACTTACTTGTTTGGAGACACGTGGCTTTAGAAAAAATAACAATGAGCAATATCATATATTGAAGCAAATAAAAGGTAAAAAGATGACGGAATTATGGGATATTTGAAAGAAATGGAATTATGAAAGAATGGAGAAAAAATGACGCAATTCTGGGATATTTAAAAGAAATAGAATTATGAAAAAGTGGTAGGTGAATTGTTAAAGAAAAAAAAAGTGTCCTTAAAAATGGAATTATGAAAGAAATATTTAACAAAGAAATTACGTTAAAATAGTCGTAAAAAAAGATAAAAAAAATTACATACAAAAATATAAAAATTAAACAACTTTAAAATATTTCCACAAAATTTCCCAAATAAGTTTTTATTTTTTGTGAATAAAAAGAAGGAGGATTTGAGATAGTTGAGATTTCTTTTCATTCAAAAGACTTTTCCTTTCTGTAATTGGATGTTTTTTTTTATGTTCGTATTTTTATTCTAATAAGAAAATTTAATATCATAATGTGTAATAAAATAATTATTTTCGATTATCAAGCTTTACAGCTTAGGAGATGAATTTGAACTTTTAAGAAATAACCATTAACATCCTAATTAATATTTTGTGGAATGATGATTGATATTTAGGTGTTCTTCTTAATGATGACAAAGTTAAATTAAAAATTAATAATCTAACAAAAGTAAAGAAAATGTTTGAAATGGAGAGATGGTGCAGTTCTTGGGCATTTGGAAGAAACAAAATTGTGAAAGAATAGAAAGTGAATTGTGGAAGAAACATAATTGTGAAAGAATAAAAAGTGAATTGTGGAAGAAACAGAAAGACATGATTGTTTGTATGTGGAGAAGAAGAAAATATTTTGAATTGGAAGAAGTATTTAAGAAGAAAAACCGTTAAAATAGATGTATAAAAATATAAAAACTAAACAAATACAAAATATTCCCATCTTCTTAAATTAACAATATAGAAAATTACACTTTTAACCCTTTTTTTTAATTTAAGTTTATTTAACATAAACTCATTTACTTTTTCATATAAGTTTTAAATTTTTTATGTTTTTTTATATCTTTGTAATCTTTTTTTTTTAAATTGTTTTGATTTCTGTATTTTATACCTTCCCACATCCTAAGCTAATATGAATTCACAAACTTAATGTTGTCTCTAATCCAGTACCTAATAATTGTTTATCTCTGATATGACTCAACAGATCACTCAATCATTAATGTTATAAATTCTGAAACCACTTATTTTAATCTCAATAAGGCCGAATTTAAAACTAACTAGATTCCTTATCAGTACTGCACCCACTCATTTAAATAAACCACTTATGCCACATAAGTTAAATGATCTAGAGAGATTATCAAGGCAATCAACCACAACCAACCTCAATTATAACGTGCTTCCCTAGATCAAAACCATATCCCCAGGATATTTAGTGTTAACTAAATCTAAAATTTTTATCTTATGCGAACTAAAAGTAAGTATCAACAAGTTCACTCACACACATCACTGGATAGAGATCAAGGTGCGACATATAAATCTTTACCCATCCTTTATATCACCATTGAGGTTTGAATACTACCATATAACTATGCCTGATGAAATTGCTCCAATCACAACCTACAACTTCTTAATTATTCCTAATTCCCTAATCACATTAGTATTGCAACCCTCCTTTTTATCTATTTCCAAACTCTTCTTCTTCCTTATATTGCCATGTTCATAATAATATCAATTCAACCTACACTACCTCTACTAACTTTAACATTCCAAAATCAATAAAATTTACAACCGTAAATCATGACATTTTAATCCTATCATAAAATACCGAATATTTGCATAAGCCGAAAGCCAAAATTTTCGTACTTGGATTTTCTCCACTACTCCTCATACCAAAATCACATACTCTCAAATCTTATCTCTAATACATTTTACTAAAAAAAAAAAATCTAACCATCTCTTTTTAATCATCCATTTAGCTTAAAATCCTTTCAATACTTCATTCTTCTCTAAAGACCTCGTGTTCTCTTAACTTACAAATTTCTCCTCCTATTAAACTTTCTCTCAATCCTCTTTATGCCTTATACCACTTCTCATATACTCTTCTTCGTCTAATATTTGATTTATTCTTAATCTACTTCAGTATTCCTATCCCTTTTTATTTTAAACTTTATGTTCAAATCTTCCACCATTTTCTTTCTTCAGATTCCAATCATCACCGATACATCAATCCATGTTACCAATCTCATACAATGCCACTCTGTTTCTTATCAACACTTCCTTCTTCTGACTTCTAACGTTACTGATATACTAAACCAAACTGATTTCTCAAATCTTGCTACATTCATGCTTATCCAAAGCTTCTCTTAATCTAGCCTTCGAACTCAACTCCTTTCTGTGAAACGTAAGATATCTCATCTATTAATTTTGTTCTAGAAACTTCTAAAAAATTTTACTTCTAAACACCAACATCTTCACTCATCCTTTGAAACTTAAACTCTGGTATTATATCTCCCTATCAAGGCTTTAACTAATTCTAATATCTTTCCTCAAACCCTCAGAATTAAGAAAGGAAAATCATCTATGGTAAAAGTCATGGTAGTTAGACACAATACTCTACTATCTAGATTTGGACGAAATGGTAAATTATACCATTTAGACTCAATTCTTCACAGAGAAGACACGGAAGACCCACAACACAGAGGTCATCCTAAGGACGAACTGCTCTGATACCATTAATGTAACATCCCAATATCCCACATTGGATAATTCATAATTTATATATTGTAACATTACATTTACGGTAACATCCCGTAATCTCACACTTAAAAATTCACAGTTGATATATTTTAAACTCAGATTTCAACTATAAACTCCTAAATATAACTTGAATTCTTCTAACTTATTCTTCGATCTCTTTCTTCCTTGGTATTGTTTCAGACGACATTCCTTCATCTGCTCCCGTATAACGAATTATACGATCATCGCACATACCCAAACACAAAAGAAAACACAAACAAGTAGGGTGAGCTAACATGCAACAAATCATTTATAAAACATGCATAATTACTTTGATATAAACATCATATAATAATTATGTTCGACACCCTCATACCACAGTTCCTATTAGACACTCGTCTCACAATACCCAATAGACACCACAATACCCAATAGACACTCATCCGGATGATAAGTTGATGAGCGGTCACGGGAGGTTATGCACTTGTAATGACTTCTACTTCTTCTTTTTTTTTTTCTTTCTCTCTTTTTTTTTTATATACAAATACACTTTCAAAATACTTCATACCATTCACAAGGTTAATCCCCTCACTATGTCCAAAACCGGCACATAGACCAGGACCTCCTGCTCCTCTCACCACATAATTCATCCCTCTCTACTTGAGAATAGATGATTATTAGAGTATCAGGATAACCTCCAACTACGGGACCCTCAACATCAACATATACACAAATACCATAACATTTACTTAATCTCTCCACAAGACTCATACCATACTAATATTCCTCAACTCACATTATACCCCTACAAAATCTCCCCATACTACTCATAACATGTTCAGATGCATAAATTCAAATGCAGTATAATAAAATACAATTATCGCATAAATCACAATTATAATTCATAATTTCATATCTACCACAATAACATGAATTAATCAAACATTTTCATTCCAACAACATATATTGCATAATAATTTAACAGTACAAAATCTGTTCAATAGGATTTAAGTTAAAAACTTGTCGAGTAGACTTCCAGGAAAGAGAGGTGCGTCACAATGGACAACTTAAGTACCAAATCTTTCCTTAGCCAAAGCGTTCCTCAACTAGTTTTTAACAAATTTCTTATTTACAGATTTAAAACAACAGCATATAATATTAACACCGAAATTTAATATAGATATCAAAAAATAGAAATTAAGCAATATTAAGATCCCTGAGAAGATACGAAATTAATATCTCTAAATCTGTAACTCCGATTTCAAATCTGATTGGTCACAATAATTCACTATTTGTTATAAACTACATATTAAAATTTCAGGTTGATCCAACGGTTAACTAGATAGATATTGAGGTTTTACCGAGGTAACTCAAGTGCAGAATTTTAAGTGGTTTTCGGTTATACTCAAAATGCGAAACTAATTTCCCTAATCACAGACATTTAATTACAAATCTGAACGGTCAAAATGACTTAATATGTCTTATGAATTACATAC